TTTCTAAGGCGCTGGTAAGAGGTCATTTATCTGTGATTTGCTATTTAGCCTAATATTTTCTTCTTATACCAGGTCATATCATATAAATATGAAGTACTTTACACCTGTAAAAACAACTTTCAAAACAATGGATGTGATAATTTAGGCTAAACTGTAAATCCGTCGGAAAATTTTCTAGTCCAGCCAAGTGTATTTTGTTTTTTTCACACTCCTACTTTATTATGGTAGAAATTTAGATGTAGTGTTCTTCAGCTAGGGTGGACAACTTATTCTGAGACCAACTGCCCTAGTTAACTGATTAAATTTTTTTAGTTTCTTCCATAAAGGAAATCATTTCTAACAGATTGTTACTGCTTATTATTCAATTGTTGAGGTTGAAGTTTGTGCTTAGCATGGCATCAAATTCATCATGACCTTTGAATTACAGCTTTTCTTGAATTTCCAGCATCATCTCGCCATGCAAGACTTCAACTTGCTGCTTTTTCCGAGTGCAGCATGTAATTGCATGGCTCTCGATCTTCCACCATCCTTGTCTTGCTTCTTTCCTTGGGAATCTGCACAACCTCATTTGGCATATCAATCCATGCGTTAAGCATGGGACATGGGTTATAAGAGACATTTCTATATTATTGAGTGGCTAGAAGTTTCACTATTGAAATTTAACAGATTGTTTAAATTGTTGAAGACCTTCAGTTGGAAGGGCAGCTCTGTCAAGATTAGGCTTTTCACATGTTTCTTAAGTGAACTTAGTTTAAATAGTTCATATCAATTCATCTGGCTAGTACTTGTCTTAGTTTAGCTGTTATTCCATCGTTTTAAAATTTAAAAATTAACATGATTTCTGGAACAGGAGGATGATCATGTGTCGGAGGTGTTTCCTTTTCAGGAAAATAGCACACTCGCTTCAAGGACCTTAAACTGGATTGGGAGGGTTGAACCAAGGAATACTCCGTTGCCTACGGTTATTCTTCAAGAATGCCTTATTGTCTTCATAAAGAAACAGGTAGTAGCATCTAGTCATCTGAAATACCTTTTTATATTTACATGGTTGAGGCTTAATATGTCCGATTGCCTCTTGTTATACTCTGCAGGCTGATTGTATTGGCAGGAATATTTTGTCAAAATTACTGTCTGAGTGGAGACTGCTAGAAGAGCTGGAAGTGCTGCGTGCTATATACTTGTTAGGCTCAGGTACACATTGCTTTTTGTTAAGCTAGCTTGTTAGTAGTCAATCATCATTGGCATTCTTTACAGGATTATTATATTGCTTTCTTCAGGTGATCTACTGCAGCACTTCTTGACAGTGGTCTTCAATAAACTAGACAAAGGAGAAAGCTTGGATGATGATTTTGAATTAAATACAACACTGCAGGTCTGACCACTCAATCCTTTTCCTTGATTTATTAGTTCCCTTCTATCTGTTGGCAGAATTTTCTATGAAGATTCTTCTCTTATGTTGTCATAGTGGAATCTAGTGGTAATATCATTTTACATGCATAATCAAATATACTAGATAATATTTTGAGACAAACATCAATCAATCAATGAAACATCATTGGATAATTAGTCACTAAGCTACTTGGTAATTAACATAGACTAAGCTGTAATAGTGGACAATATTTTGAAACAAATTTCCAATCAACTACATTACCTTGAAATAAGATAATTTTTAGCTGTACGAGACTACTTGGTAGGTTACATGGATTAAGTTATCTAAAAAGCCTTTACTTCTGTTATTTTAGGCTGGAGAGGCAACAATAAGTGGATGAGTATTTTAATGTAGATAGAGTTTAGACATAGGAACAGAAAGGGTTTTAATACCAATGAGGTTCTTAGAGGGTAAATCAATGCAACATACATGGAATTAGTTGGGAGGCTGCTGCGTGTTAAATTGCATTGGTTTTGAAATCGCTAGGGGCCTTATTACCTATTTTTGCTACAGGGAGATTATATGGGACACTGAAGATCCCTAGGGAGTAATACCCATCATATTATTATTTAGGCAAGTGGTTTTCTTTCAATTAAGTAAGCAATAAAAAGCCTTGTCATGTTTATTGTTACCAAACATCCTGTTTTCCACCAGAAAGGCATGTTCCAACATATCAAGACAAGAAGACAACAGCACTGCTCAGACAAAAGAAAAGGAAAGAATGTTATTTGTATTAACCAGGAACAAGAACTATGTTGTGCAAGCTGACTATACCAAAATAGAAAAAGAAAAAAAGAACTGTGAGTAGTACTGAGTGACCTCTATATAATATCTGAAAAGGAGGATAAAATATCTCGTAGACCATTTGCTTTATACCAATGAGTAGGGGTTGAACAAAAACTCTTGCAGCCTTTGACGTCTGTAGAATCCAATTGTTAGAGGTGTTTCCCTCTCCTATTCATCCTAGTTGTTATCTGCTACTTGACTTCATTAATTTCAGTTCTTTGCGTCTGCAAGTGAGGAAGCTTCTATGTGTTCACTTAACCTTTGTTGATAATTCAGGAATCAATCCGATACTCTGCTGATGCCGCACTATTAAGCACGCCCGATTCATTAGTTGTATCTGTAACAAGAAATAATGCCACTATTGAGGATGACCAGCGTGGTATGCCTCTTCTAACTTCGATACCTCGCAAGAGTCGAGGGCAAAACTTTGGCATTGATGGTCTTGATTCACTCATGTTTACGTACAAGGTATGCGTGCCTTAGGCTGTCTGATCTATGGTGTCTTACAACTTTGTCATATTATATTAAAATGTTGAAATGTAACAGGTTCCTTGGCCCCTTGAGCTTATTGCTAATACAGAAGCAATAAAGAAGTATAATCAGGTATTCAATAGACTACTGTAGTCACCCTCAAGGTGCAATCAATTTGAATGTTCTTCTCAGTAGTTTATTGTCTTCTTTAGGTTATGAGGTTCTTACTGAAGGTCAGGCGTGCAAAATTTGTTCTTGATAAAGCTCGGAGGTGGATGTGGAAGGTTTGCACTATGTTATCTTATATTGGTTAATTTGGATCCCAGATAACAATTTCAAGCTATTACAGTAATAATTATGTTTAGTATCCCACGTTGGTTGACGGATGAGCTATTTGTCTGCTTGTATGATCTTGGACAATCCTCACCTCATAAACTAGCTTTTGGAGTTGAGTTAGCCCCAAGGTATGGGGGTGTTAAAAGTGTTAGACCTTAATTAAAATATGGGATGTTTTTGTCTACTTAAATGGTCTTTGACAATGCTCAGCTCATAAACTAACTAACAACCCTTTTGTGGTTGAGTTAGACCCAAGGTCCATTTCTTTAAGAATGGCGTACTTTATGGCTTCTAACCAATTCATTTACTTGCTCTTATTGAAATGTCAAGTCTAGTTAATTATAGCAACTTTGTCTTTCAGGACAGAAGTTCAGCATCTATTAACCGCAAACATCATTGGTTACTGGAACAAAAACTGCTACATTTTGTGGATGCCTTCCACCACTATGTGATGGACAGGGTATTCATTCTCTCTTTGATTGTAATTTTTTTGGTGGAATTTCTGTTATACTTGGGGCATATTTTGGACTCTATGAGTCCTGCCTTTTTAATAATCCTCCCACTTGATATGTGAGAAATTTGTTTAGGGCACCAGTATTGATGGAAAATTATTGAAACATGGTAATTTTGTTTCTGGAAAGAAGAAATTTATAGGTTGCGTTTATATTCTTGTCTGTTCTCATAAATAATTACTATTATCACATATGTTTTTGCATTTCTACTGTGTATTGTTAGCGGAGCTTATACCCCTATTGTAAGGTAAATGCAATTTCTAACATAAATCATGAATTCATAAGCTCATAGAAATAGAAAAAAGTTTGTTCAATATCTGCACTTTGACTGTTATAACATTAAATACAGTAGTAGATTGCCTTTGCAATCAATTGTTGCTACATTTTAACACTAACTGTTTCCTACCATGTAGGTGTATCACAGTGCATGGGGTGAACTCTGTGAAGGTTTGGCTGCAGCAAGATCATTGGATGAAGTCATCGAAATACACGAGGCTTACTTGATGTCAATCCAAAGGCACTGCTTTGCTGTTCCAGAAAAACTGGTATTTTCACATGGATGCACTATTTCTCTGTTTTCCCCCCTTCCCAAAACATAGAAATGAAGAATCATGCCATGAGAGGCTAACCAGAAACAATTTCCTTTTCCCAGTGGGCATTGATTGCTAGCCGTATCAACAGTATTCTTGGATTAGCTCTCGATTTCTATTCAGTACAGCAGACTCTTAGCAGTGGAGGAGCTGTTTCTGCAATCAAGGCAAGGTGTGAAATGGAAATCAATAGGATTGAGAAACAGTTTGATGACTGCATAGCTTTCCTCATGAGGGTAAGTTCTTTTTCTCCTTTTTTTAAAATTCCAAATCCCAATTGTTATAACTACTTCAATAGCGCGGACTTGATTGGTTCTTATCATGTTGCAAACTTTCAGATTCTATCTTTCAAGCTCAACGTGGGACAGTTTCCACATTTGGCAGATCTGGTTACCAGAATCAATTACAACCATTTCTATATGTCACACAATGGAAGTTTGATAAATGCACCTGGCTCTAATACTGTTCCTTCCAAATCAGGGAAGTTGTTTGCAGGCCAAAGAGATTGAAAGATACTTGAAGGGATAGTGTTTTCGTTTTTTTCTTTTTTTCGATGTACAGCATTTACAGTAAAGAACCTCTTCCTGCATTTACCAGTTGAGAGAATATTCTACTGGTTGGGAAGAAGAGCCTATAATCTGTATTTCGTTATCTTAAGAGCCATCAAGCAATTGCATTTGGCTGTTGTGAGTGCATCTAATATCTGTTGTAGGCTTGTAGCTTTATATAAGAAATCCACAAGGCCAATGTTTGTAAGTTCAAAACTCGATGGATAATGAACATATGCAGGTGACATCTCATTTTTAAACAAGTATAGCATGCAGCATAAAGAATAGTTGTGATAACTGATTAGACAGATTGCAAGATGCATGCATATATCTGATAAGCAATTAGTTCAAACTTCAAAGCTGGAAATAGAGTACAGGTCTGCTCATAAATCAAAAGTTCCAAGACAGTGAAAAGCTTTAGCAAGGTTCTACCAAGCAGATTAAGAACATCAAGAAATCTTGAAGCAAAGATGGAGATAAATATATTGGCATAGCCAAACTCCGGATGAGGGACGAGATAGAGATTGTAACATGATGATTTATTTGAAAAAGCTGGCAACAACTCCTGAAATAGAAAACCTTGTCCCACTGTAATCTACTAGGCTTTAGTATATGATATCCAGTAGTAATACTCCTAAATCTTGAAAAGAAGAAATCCTGCAGTAAGAAAAAACGACGTCATGTTATAAAAAAAAATGATCAACCTGGTTAAGATAGAATTTGTTTAGGCAAACAATGAACTTTGTTCAAAAAAAGTTTTCTTTAGAAGAAGTAGCACCATATTTCAAAGAAAAACAGGTAGCAGAAAAGCAAGGGCCAATTACAAGAAACAACTACTACTACGAAGGGAGGAATATGGTTTCACATCTGATGAAAATGAAACAACTAATCTCATGGCATATCATATATGGTTTCATCATCTTTAGATGTACTAAAAGTAGCGTCATTTCCAAACTAGGGTCAGCAATTACAAGAGGAGACAACTACTACTACACTTCAATTCCAAGCAAGTAGGGTAGGCGATTACAAGAGGAAGGCAAACTAAAAAGGACAGTATAGAAAGACACAGGAGGCTTGCAGTTACCACGATCATAAGCACTATGCTAGTATGTAAGCCCCTATAGAGATAAGGGTGAGCCAGGAGCATATTTATGCCTCTTGTGACATTGACATTTCCCATTAAAACCATACTGCTGTGAATAGTTCAAACAACCATGGACAGTTTCAAACTTCTTTTAAAATTCAAAACACCCCCATCATAAAACTAAGGTATTCCTAAATATTTGCAATCTCATTGAGTATCTATAAATAAAATCATCACTTAGGCTCTCAATGGTTTCTATTATAAATCTTAAGAACGAATGCATGTTTCTCATGGTAATAAATTACTAAATAAAGAAGTAACAACAGAAGGCTTAATCTGTATTCTATATGCATTTCCATTTTTGTATCAGTTTCATTTCATTCTGACAGAAAGAACATAACATTTCATGTAATGCAGTAAATACTAAAAAGTTCACTACAATCTCCGAGGTTTAATGATCATATATCTACTACACATGGAAAAACTAGTTCTGTTTCAATACTCTTGCACATTGAAGGAAAAAAAATCTGTCTGGTCTAGAAATTCATCATATCTCATTATAAAAGAGGATTTCAACACAATGACCAATTTTACTCATATCCTGCTAACATGCAACGGAACGAGTCATACAATACATTACAGTCTCAAAGTACAACCAAATTTCGAAGCTGCACATTTTGGTTGCAGCATTTTCATCGAATTTATACACCTAAAGCAATTGTCTTATTCCCTCATTCATCGCGGAAGGTCTACTTTTGGATATTAAACTTTGTACTGTAGTCTGTAGATACATAAGGTTTAAGCTCAGCCTCCAGACGGCAGTATATCTATCAGGCTCAGCTGCTTCAATTTCTTTCTCTATATACACATTCCCATTACAGATTAACAAACCTACTCTTTCTAGAGTTTTCCTCAGCCTAGACATTTCAACAAACACCTTTTGCTCAAACACAAACACTGGCTTAATCACACAACTAAGAAGCAGAATTCAAATTCAAACAAGCTTTTTTGCACAAAATTAAACCCAAACACAATCAAAGCGTAAACAAAATTTACCTGGGTATTGTATTGTCTACCAAGAAGCTTTCTTTACACCTTGCAAAGCACCACGAGCAGCCAAACCACGAAAAACAATACGAGACATTCGAAACTTTTCATAAACGGCACGAGGTCGACCAGTAAAAATGCACCGATTTCTGATTCGCGTAAAGGAACTGTTTCTGGGCAACTTGGCAAGCTTGTACTGATGAGCTTCTCGCATTTCAGGTGGAAGTTGAGGATCTTGAACAAAAGCTTTATACAACTTTCGCCTCAATTCATACTTAGCAGACAACAATCTGCGTTTGTTATCTTGAATATTTCTCGTGAATTTCTTCCCCAAAGCCACCATTGAATTCATCTTCGCTCTCTCAGACGATCGATTCGCTATACAATTCCCAAGATTTCAGTTTTTTTCCGATCAATGGGTAATACACTATTAGGGCTTCACCGGCAGGCCTTTTTCAGCTTTAGGCCCAGAAGAAAAAATGTTAACAGGCCCAATAGGCTTAAGGTGGAGAAAAGAAGAATTAGGCCCAATATTTTTACAAAGACCAAAAATAGAATTGGAAAAATTAGTAAATTAATCAAAATAAATAACATATTTAGTAAAAATATCCATACTTTATAAATATTAGCAATAATGTCAAAAATCTCATTATTTTAAAAAATTTATGTGTCCCAATTTTTCCTATTTTATCTCTCTTTTTCAATTAATTCTATATATCCTTTTAATAAAAATAAATCATTCTCTCTCATGTTTATCTTTTCAAATTGTTAATTCTCTCTCCCATTTAATTTTTTTTCTCTCTCATGGTTATCTTTTCTGATTTTCCTCCAACATTCAAGTTGCAAATATTTTTTTTGCCATATATTTTGGTTGTTTTTTAAATCCAAAATTGAATCAACAAGAATCCCTTTGATTAAGGTATCTCTAATCTTTATCCTATTTTCAGATTTCTTTTCTAATTTTATTTTTGTTTGAATCTTAAAAAAATGTTGTTTGTATTTTTCAATTTCCGTTATGATTTACTCTCCAATGGCTGAATCCAAGAGGCTTACTAGAGGTATTCATCTTAATCAACCAATTTCTGGTGATTTTTCATTCTTTAATTTATTTATTACTTAACATAAATAGTGTATAATGTATGATCCGCTGCTAAAATGAGGGAAGAAAGAGGGTAAGAACATTTACAAGACTTATTGGTGTGCAAAACCTTCCTCAGATTCAGAACGCAAATGTAGAATCTTTGTCTACTCGTGAGGATCTTGAAAAAGACGACGAAGATCGGATAGTTGTCGAATAATTTTCTATTAGTTTGTTTTGTATTTATAGTTCTTTTTTAGAATTTGGTATGCTTTCTTAATTTGTATTCAAATCACTATGTATACTATCAATATTTGTATTTATTAAAAATTTTATGTTGTATGGTTTATGAATCTTGTATTTGTCTCTAATTTGTATTCATCCAAATGTATGTCAACTAGTTATGTATTTTATTTATAAGAAGAACAACTTTTTATTAGTTTATTTGTATTCGAATACAAATACAAATAATAGACATATTGGAATGAATATGACTTAGAAAAGGAAACAAGATTTTGAAAAGAAAAATAAATACATAGTGAATAATATATACGAATACAAATGTATTTCTTAAATAGCTACATTTTATTTGACATACATATTGGAATGAATACAAACTAATAAAGGTATGTCAACTGAATTTGACATTTTTTTCTAATTTGTATTTATTCTGAAGGTATGCCAACTAGTTATGTATTTTATTTAACAATGAGTACACCAAATATTCAATTATTTCTTTTCAATTTTATATTTCATTCACTTTTTCATCATACTAATTTTTTGTATTTTATATATTATTATACAAAATTCTAAATAAAAACTAGAATAAATAGAGATACAAATAAAATACATATTGAAATGAATACATACAGGACTTTTGAAGAAAAAAAATAACTATATAGGAAAAAAATATATGAAAATACAAATATATTTTTTAAATGACTATATAGATAAATTCGGCATACCTTTTGGAATGAATACAAATTAATTAAAAACTATAATAAATATAAATAGAATATATTGTGGAATGAATATAATTTTAAAAAGGTAAAAATTCTGGAAAAAAAAACAAAATTTAAATTTTATTTGAAAATGTAACTGATGAGAAAATTAAGGATGCTTGTCTTTTTTTGAAATACTCCTCCCTTAATTTTCTCTTTTTTGTTATTAAATAATTATATTCTTTAAATAAAAATAAATAATAAAAACATAAATAAGATACGTAACAAACTAAAATGACATTTTTACTAAATATTGAAATTGTTGCTAATGAGCCCTCTTAAATGCTAAAATATTGACATTTTGAAAAATTTCCCAATAGAATTTCCATTATAGTATGAAAAAATTATACTGTTTAATTACTAATCATAGTTATAATAGTTTGTTATTTACCATTCACGACTAATATCATACATTAATTAATTACGTGGGTTAACGTCGATATTGTATAATTAGTCACGTTTGTATATGTATAATTCGTCAAAATATACAAATACATATGAATAATACACAATTATCTAAGCGATATACCTATATAATTCACCTGTCTCCAACTCTTAACCCTCTCTCATGCGTCTCCTAATCTCACTCGCCTCTCTCCTCCTTCAACCCAATCCAGCTTGCCATATATACTAATGCATATGTATAATATACAATTATCTAACCTATATACATAATACAATTCACCTCTCTCCCACTCTTTGACCGCTCTCCTCCCTCTCCCAATCTCACTTGCCATATGTGCAAATACATCTGTATAATATACCATTGTCTAACCGATATACATATAGAATTCATCTTTCTCCCACTCTTTTCCCTCTCTCTCCCGGTCTCACTCGTGTAACTACGAATTATGACTATAACTATCAAACTATAGCTACGAAAAGTAATTAGACTATTTTTGAGTAGCTATATGTGAAAGTTCCTCTACTATAATATTATTAGAATGCATGTTTTTACTTATCATTGACAATTGATTCACTAATGATACTGTCGACTTTGGATCTAGGTCTACACGCTTTAAAACATGTAATTAGGATTGAAGATTTTCTTACTTAAACATTGAGCATCTCTTTTATGTTATATTTTTTCGATACGGAATTAGCCTAGATTGTTTCGACTGAGGTTTGCTTCACAATCGCCTTGCTTTGCGTGTCAAAGCATCGATACCAAATGTCACAACTCAAGGATTAACTTATATATATATTAGACGTTGAACCTTCACGTACAAGTTACAAGCAATACACATATATCAAGATCATCTAGCAAAGGAAAACATAAAACATCAATGTTGTTAAACAAAATCTTTTTAAAAATTACGAAAAACAAGTTCTCCCATGCCTCTTTTTCGTTCTTAACAATCATCTGAATCACTTGATGAATTAGCATCTGAATGATCAATTGATGGATTTAGTACAGCTCCAGTGAGAAGTACCAATCTTGAAGCCTCTTCCCTCACCATGAACAAGAAAGGGTGATCTGCTACAAATCTTGGGCTAGGGGCTTCATACAACGAACATCCCATGTCATCATCAGACACCACAGTAACAACTGCTGCCTCAGTACCCTTCTCGTTTACTTCGATAAATGCCTTTTGTATTATCCTGTTAACAAAGAATGGCCCCTCAGGTTTCACAACCTCAGTGAGCTCCATGCAGTGTTTATCAAAAGGAAGAGTCAATCCCATTTCCCTCATTGTTCTTATAACTTGTTTCATCGCAGTGTATGTGAATTTGAACTTTGGGATGTAGAATGCATCAAGTGATTCAGACCAAAGATTGAATTTTTGTGTAAAGAATTTCGGATCAGAATTCACCTTTTCCAATAAGTTCAGCAATCCATTTTTTTCATTTGGAAGGAAGATAAACATAGTACTTCTTTGTTATCGCCATTTTTTCCAATTTCATAGGGAATGTTAGCAACTTGATAGCCTTCAAATGATCCATAGGTGAAATGTTCGCAGCCAGTCATAAAGGGAACTGAAATCATATCACCGTTGAGTAGGTAAAAGTCTCTGTCTATGGTACGTTCTTCATCAAAATCCCACCTACCTTTAAAATAGAGGGCATTCGCCAAAAGAACCGTTGTATCATCTGTAATGCATTTGGGCTTTAGAATATCTTTGATAAGGCCTCTTGATGCAGACTCTGCCCAGATGTTAACATCTTCTGCTACCTCTTCCTGCACAATAATGAATTTATACGTGTTATTGACTATGCACAAATCGAATCATAAGTAAAATATGACATATTGATCAGTGAAATTGGTTTGAAAACCATGTGGAAGTAGGTTGCTCGAATTCCTGCACAATCTAAATTTTGAATCCTCACAGATAATGAAAGTGATATTTCTAATTGAGTGCTTCTAAAATTTGGTTCACTTGTGTCAACAACTATTTTTCATCTAAACACCAATATTTCATATTTCTGAGACATTATAACAGCAAGTAAAAAAATAAAATCAATAAGAAACTCCTGTCATCTTTTTTCTGTAAACAGATATCTCAAAACATATACAAAATATAATGATAACAACTAATATATCCCGTGTAATTCCATTTAACTTTGTATGTATGGTTGCTACACATTGTTTCATAATGAATAGTATCGTATTTTGGTGTATTATATCATACCATATTGTTTTAACATAAATAACGAAATTAAACAGAGCACTTACCCTGAGTTTAAAATCAACAATTTTAGGCTGAATTTTATAGAGAGTGTTGGCTAAATGTTTGAAAGAGTCTCTGATTTCATGAGTATGAGCAACCCACATTCCATTAAGAAAACTCAAATCAGGGCCACCATTACTGTTGCTCTCAATAACATGAATCATATTTAAAAACTTGGAGTTCAAATCGTTAATGTCACGAACACCGAGAAATCGAAGCATCTGATCCAATGTATCTCCCATTGCTCCGACGGCCGTCATGTTCAGTACGGCGTGGAAAGATAATGGAGAGAGGAGTATGTTAGTATTCGAATTTTTGGTTTTTTTAAACTCTTTTTGAATCTCCTTTAGAATAATTCGACTTGTGACTTGTGGGCAATAATCAATTTTCTCTTCTTTTCGTTTCGCCATTGATTTGTTGATCGGCAGGGAAGAAGGTTGAAAGGTATAATGTAAAACCCTAATTCCTGCTGATTTCGCTATAAATGACAGTGATTATTAGGAACAAAATCCGATGGTTAATTTTGTTACTATAAATTCATATTCCGTTACGAAATTTTAGGACGTAAATCACGCACAAAGCCTGGATATGATAGTGTTCTGAATAAATACAAATATTAATTTTAGAAGCTAATTATCTTACTATAAAATTCAGAATTAATAAGATCAAAATTTAAATTTCGCCTGTGTAAGAAACGAGTAGTGATAGAGTTAGGAAATAAAATATTTCGAAAAAGTAAAAGTGACACTTACGGTGAACAAAATAAGAGAAACGAGATTAAAATGGTTTAAATAAATAAGAGATGCACAAATACTCACATCAGTGAGAGGTTAACTATAGTGAGTTTGAATAAAGGTACAAGTGGATCAAAGAAGTATTTGATAAAAGGTGATTAGCCTTGCAAATTATCAAAAAAATAACTTAAAATGGAAGCTTAATACACGAATGTCACGACCCAAATCGGGCCGCGACTGACACCCACACTTACCCTCCTGTGTGAGCGAACCAACCAAATCTAAACCTTAACATTTCAATATAATATCAACAAAAGTAATGCGGAAGATTTAAACTCATTAATAAAATCAATAACTATTATTATCCCCAAAATCTAGAAATCATCACCACAAGAACATCTATGATCAAAGTACTAAACTAAGAGTATTCTAAAAAGCTAAAACAAGTAAAAGCTAGTCCATGCCGGAACTTCAAGGCATCAAGACATGAGGAAGAAAATCCAGTCCAAGCTAGAAGCATTAGCTCACCCTGAGGATCCGATGTGACGAAGACTGGCTAGAGTTACGGTTGAGTTGAAGATGACGGCACGTTTGCTGCACTCCACAAATAAACAAGAAGAAAACATAAAAGTAGGGGTCAATACAAAACACGGGTACTGAGTAGATATCATCGGCCAACTCAAAATAGAAATCAATATATATCAAGTAATATCATAAATCAACTATGATACTCAACATGTAACAACAGCAAGTACTATATCATTAACAATTACCGTCAAGTTCACACATGAGGACTCAAGCCTCAATGTCATACTCATTTGGGAATTATGTTCATTAGATTGAGTATATTAACATCTTTCAAGATTCATTATCTTTATTTCTCTTGTGTCGGTACGTGACACTCCGCTCCCTCATGTTCATTAATCTTCTTGTGTCGGTACGTGACACTCCGATCCCCTAAATCTACGTGTCGGTTCGTGACACCCGATCCCCTAAATCTACATGTCGGTTCGTGACACCCGATCTCCTAAATCTACGTGTCGGTTCGTGACACCCGATCCCCTAATACTACGTGTCAGTTCGTGACACCCGATCCCCTAATACTACGTGTCGGTTCGTGACACCCGATCCCCTAATACTACGTGTCGGTTCGTGACACCCGATCCCCTAATCTCCTTCTATCAATTCATCAAGCCTTCTTTCTTACCAAGGCATCATCAATCTCATTATTTTAGTTCATCACGCCTTCTTTTATACCAAGGCCTCATTATTAACAAAGAGATTAGGATTTTGCAAGATTTGGGATTCAATAACTTCATCATGATTATATAATCATAATTATATAATTACATTCATGCAAGCATACAATTAAGCACATAGCAGGGTTTACAATA